AGAGAGAGAGAGAGAGAGAGAGAGAGAGAGAGAGAGAGAGAGAGAGAAAAAAACAGTGTGAAGAATTAGAAAAACAAAGTAAATTCAAAGATTTTGTAAAGCAAATTGAAACCAATGTTCAAGAAATTGGCAACGTTTTATTTATAAACATAGATTTTAAGACTGTGTAATTAATTCTGCGACATACGAATGTTTCAAAAGTAGAATAAAAAAAATAAAAAAATGAAACCAAAAATAGAAACAAAAATAGCATTTCAAATTCAAATGTGCCATGAAAACCACAAACGGTTTGAGTGTTTTTTTCCCTCTTTCTCTCTCTTCTTCCTCTCAATGCACAAAGTAGCATGTGGATGGCAGTAAAACTTAAAGAAATCTAAAAAATGTCAATTGAAATGTTATCACAGCGTTTCTAGCGATTTTCGACAATAATTTCAATTAGAAAATTTCGTATATTTTCATTTTTATTTCATGTCAAATTTTAGGTTTTCAATGACTACGACGTAAACTCAATAAACCAAGCCATTTAAAGCAAATACACAAACAATCAATTCACGCGACAGATGGCGCCATGGTGCAATTTTTCACTTTGCCAATATTATAGTTCGCAAGGCGACGAATTTACAGAGTTTTGTATATAAGCGCATCGGTTCGCCTATATAGTTGGAGGTGTGTGTTCTGTCGTGAGATAGGCACGAACTGGACATTGATCGCTTTTACCGTGTTAGTAAATTCAAGCAGATCTGCTCAGTGCAGTGGCTTATCACACTCTTGTAGGTAGATTTTCCAGTCATTGCTTGTATGTTCCCGTTTGCACAGCAATGCTCAGTCGTTGCTGACGCACGGTTGAGCATATGAGCGTTGACAGGTCTACCAAACTCCAAATTGTTGTTGGTTAAGTAAATTCTTAGCTTCGTTCATTAAGTTAACTTGTTCAGAACACTTCCATGCATGGGTATTGCCGAGCAATTTGCCCATTTTTTGCATCATTTTCGGCGCAATTTTTTCGATAATTTTTTTTTCTTCGTAATTTTATTCGTTTTTCTGTGCTTTATCGGAATTATTTGATTTTTTTGCAAAAATGTATTTGCAATTATTTTTAATCTGCGTTTGAAGGGAAACAAATAGACTGAACAGGGTAAAGGTTAAACGAAACGAAATCAAATTAAATTTGTCTGTCTGAATTCAATTAAATTCGGTGCGATGAGCTTCTTTCGTAATTATGAAGATGTTGAGATAATACGAAAAAAAGGTTAAGTAAATTTAAAAAAAATAATTTTTGTTCTCGCGAATAGTGTTTGCTATTGCCTCGACACGTAATGTTCGTGTTTCAGTTTGCTCACAACAGTAATGAATCAGGGAAATTGTTGTTCCATTGAGCACGGCATGTACACTTTTTATTGTTATGTTTTTTTTTCGCAATCGTTGTGGCTTTATTGTTCGAAGCGCGATGACTCTGTATTTCAGCGAAATTTGTTTATTCAAACCGAAATGTGCTAACATGAGTGACTAACGCTTGGCAAGTGTTGTCACTTGCTAATTGACTCAGAATCAATAGGAGACAAAAACATCGGAAAAAGCTGTTGTGACAACTGATTTTTTTTCTACGTTTCATTCCGAATTGCGCTACAATTCAAAGGCTCAACACAAAACACCCGTTTTTTTCTCTCTTTCGATAAAGAGCTTTCCGAATAGATTCTGATCGGTTGAGTTGCGCCATTTAGACAGAACCAGTTCAAATTAGTCGTCAACTGGTGTATTTGGTGATGATTCAAATAGAACTCTAGCACATCGTGCTGATAATTATGAGCAATTGAAAGTGAGTGTCAACGAGAGAATGTTTTTTTTTTGTGTTCATTCTAGTGCAGCTATAGTTGCTTTGATTCGATACCCGCATATACATGAATGTGAGTTACGTTAAATGTGTGAACGTTTTACCGTTGACCATTCACATTGCATGATTAAGTGGCAATGTGTATAGCATTGATTCATATTTGTTTGCTTTTTTTCACCCGTTCACAGTTCATTCAGCAGCAGCAGCAGCAGCAGCAGCATATATTTTCATTCATTGTTTAACTTCTTTATTTATCGTTTAATCTACATATACGTTTGTTTTTTTTATCTCTCCACAGATCCCTCCCTCTCTTTGCCAAAAACATAACAACGGCTGACCAATTGGAATACTGCCTCATTATTTGCAGTTTTCTCTTTGTGCGCGCTCACACTTGATGCTCTCGCTGTCTCAGTCGATTGCGATGTCAATCGCAGTGTTAATCTTATCGTCTAAGCAGCAAGATTAAAATGCGTTGTCGCATTTACATTCAAGTGTTTATTAATATTTTTGATTTAATCAGACTATTTTGACCCATAAGTGTCAATAAATCAAATCGTTTTTTTTTTTGAATAAATCTCGCATATAATTGAGTTAAACGACTCATTTTTCATTCTCTCGCTTGACGTGCTTGATTTTGTGTGTTTATTTTTTCTCTTTGATTTTTCTATTTTTATTGTGGTCAAATAAATGCGTGTCAGTTTTTATATGCCACAAAATCTATCTGAAAAAATTGAGTACTCGAGAGTGAGCATCATCGGGGCAATCGTGTATAATCAAGTGTACGAAAACGTGAAAAATGATAACGATGACATGAATTTATAAATAAGCGGTCCAATTGAAAATAGTATCATAACAAGTAGGATCACACAGTGTGATTGCAGTGCTCAATATTTACGAAACGAGTACAAATTTTCAATATCATCAATTGATTTTAAGTGCAAATAAAAGTGCAAGTTTACGGATTGAATTGAAGAAAACCAGTGCTGGAGACGATGACTATGTTGTACGATACAGTGGTTGTGCTGCTTGGCTGTTGCGGTTGCATTGCCTATGGACAATTTGGTAGGCAATTTTTTTTTCCTTAATGAATTTAACCTTTTTTTTCTTGGTCTCACAAAAAGTAACTTGTTCTCATTTTGCTCTGTGTCAGCCATCGAAAAGCCGTTCAAATTGAGTTTGACGATAAGCGCAAAGCTGAGCGCAATCGAGGTGTCTTGGTACAATTTACGAACACCAACTAATGGATACATTATTTTAACGGATGAAGAGCCACAAGCCCCGTATCGAAAGCAACGGCCAACGGATATTGAGCAACAGCCACATGAAATTTACACAAATGAGGACAATTCAACGCACAAATACTATGCTGACAATGACAATGACGATATTAGATGGACGTATGGTCGGGCCAATAAACCAGCAGTTTATGTTATCAAACCAGACGAGGCAAGCGGATGGATTACAACGAATATTATATTTGACAATAAGCATTTGGAACGGTTGAGAGCAAGCACCAGATGCTATGGCTATTGGGCAACATATGTGGATAACTCGTCGAATCCAGTGATTACCACATGTATTCGAACGTACGCCACCTGGATGAACGACCATATGGATCTTATTAAACGATTCAAATTTCGCGATCTTTTCATTCTTGGATCACACGACTCGGGCTCATATCGAGCCAATTTCAATTCGAGCCGAAACGAAACGCTTGTTACCAAATATGCGCTAACGCAAGTAAGTGATTGACACCATCAAATTGAGAATGACAACAACTAGTTCAAAGCTGATCACGTGATACGTTTTTTTTGTGTGTGCATTAGAGTGATGATATCACAAGCCAATTGATGCACGGAATTCGATACTTGGACATACGAGTGGGCTATTACCGGGCTACTGAACCACAATTTTGGGTGAATCACGGGATTTCCCGGCAACAGCCACTCATTAAGGTTTTGCGGCTAGTACGTGACTTTGTGTTGGAAACCAACGAAATCGTTATATTCGATGTACAAGAGTTCCCTGTCGGTAAGTGAACCCCACTTCATTTCATTATTATCGGCAGATTTTTCATTTCTTGGAAATTTCTCCTTCATTCACAGAATTATAATTATTGTTTTTATTGTAACGGACTTATTGTTCTTGAGATTATTTCTTCACATTCATCAGTTTTATCATGATTGTGTGTATTGTTTTGGGTTTTTTACATTTCTATTTTTTTAACTGTGAATGAAAAAAAGGTTTCGGCAAATCAATGGATGTTCATCGCAAATTGGTGAGATATATTCAAAATGAATTGAGCGAATTGCTGGTCGACCCATCATCCGGTTGGGAAGTGAAACTGGAACAGATTTGGCAACATCGACGCAATATCATTTTAGCGTATGATCACATTGAAATCGTCAATGAATTCCCATCGTTAGTGTTTCAATCGGTGCAACAGCGTTGGGGAAATTGCCAAAATCTACCGGATTTGAAGCGATTTTTATCACCATCGGGTCATTCATTTACTTTGTGAGTAGCTCAAGAAATTTTTATGGACGTTGTTCTTTGTATTCACATTGTTTTCTGTTCCGTTTTTTTTGCTCTCATGTTTTACTCCTTTCTCTTATTCTCTTTTTACTCATTCTAATACAAACAGTTGAAAAAATGTCAATTAAAATAATTTTGTCGATCACATTGCAGATTCTCCAGCCGTCCGTTTGCTGACATGGCAGAATTGACACCCACCACATGGGATGTGCTCACAGATAAATGGGGTGGTCTACGAAAGGTAGCCGATCAATCGAATCGCCACATTTCCAAATGGTATGCCGACGAATGGTTTATGTCGGCAAATATAGTTGCAGTCGATTTTTATCGCGGCACAAACTTAATGGAAACTGCCATTTACTCGAATTTGAAAAAAGATCTACTTCGACGAATGAAAAAATAGTCAATCGTTTGTGTTATTTATTGTACGTATTTTCATTGATTCATTTTAGATTTTAATACATTTGAATGTAAGAGTAAAGTTAAATAAAGACATTTGAATGGACGGAACTTGTTTCACAAAATAACCCTTGAACAATGCATGTTTCACACACACTTCCTATTCAGCTGCTTTCGCATTCTCATCCGTACTGTTCGGTTTACGTGAATGAATGAATGAGGCAACTTCGCTGAACAATTGCTCTTTGGTCAACGGTACATCGTGATCGGCGAGCACATTCTCATCTTGCAAACAATGCATCAATTTTGACAGGTCAATGTTCTCCGATGAGGCAAATTCGGAATACTTCAACAGTTCTACATTCAGTTCTTTGTACGTTTCAACACGATTTGCCGCTATGGCTTCCACTTCTTTTGCATCGATCAAAGCTGCTTCATCGATGACGTCGTCCAAGTCAGGTAGCTCTGGAATGTCATCGGACGGTGGTGACGAGGCCACAACTGTGTTGAAGCGTTCCCTACGATGAATAAATCATTTTCAATTAAAATTCACCGTAGATTTAGATTATATTCAATCTATACATTGCTCATTGATTGTGCACTTACATCTCACTTTGTGATGGTTTATTTCGATTTCTGTGAGAGAAAAAATATCATACATTCATACATAATTGAACAATTTTCTGAGCATAAAATGATAACATACTTTCCACTGCTACCCGATCGTACCGGTTCATCGAACCATCCAGTTCTTTGTTTGTTTTTCACTGGATTCGATTTAAAATCCAATCCAGATGAAAACTCATCCGACAGTGCATTTTCTTGAAAATTCGAGTCATAATCGGGTGTCGATGGACTATCACTACTGGCATTGCTTGTTGTATTCTCCGCAGCTCGTCGACCCTTTTTCACTGTCTAAAATCATATCAAACATTTACTACAACTCTTTTTTTTATTCAAATTTCACTTGCTTACCTTCTTAAAAGTCTGTTTCAAGTCTTCAGCCCAATCCATTTTGATGGGAACAATTATTTAAAAAATAATAATAAAAACAAACAAGAATAAAGTCGAAAAGTCAAGCATTCAATGCAAAAACCACTTTTGTTTACACATCAAAGTCAAATTGTTTATGTTGTTGGTTGCAATAGAAACGAGAGTACCGGCAGCGCCATCTGCTGGCATTTCAACCTCATTTGACAGCTTGTCATTCGATGCACGTGCTGAGTAGTAAACAAAAACAATTTTCGGTATTTCAAGTTGTGATTGCATTTGGTTAGGGCTTAAAAAGCCGATTGAAAAATACAATGTCACGTAAATCATTGTCGAAAAAAGAGCCAGCAATTTGGTATCTATGTAATAGCTGTAAATGTAACGTTTTTGCCAAGGATCGTGAACAACATTCGTGCACTGAACAAGAGAGTGATGAATCAAAGCAACAAAATTCCACATTTGTGAAGAATAAGAAACTTTTCACGAATCAATTCGCAGAGAAATCAGTCACAGATGATTTGAAAGGAATAAACGCAAATAAAGTGAATAATTTGATATTTCTACACGAATCAATCTTTCCACTGTGTGATTTGGTATTGGGTGATTATGTTTTGGTGTCATCATCAGCTCTAGCCAAAAATACATCAATCGTCCGGAGTGCCTGGCCGATGTCGACCGCAAATCAAGGGATTGTTTGTGTTTCACAAGAAGGTAATAATCGATTTTTGGATGAGATTTTGATTGCTGTTCTTCTAAATCAGTTGATTCACATCTTCTATTTAAATATATCTTTCACCCAATTGTTTCATTTTGAATTCCAGAGCTGCGAACAACATGGAAATCAACGCTTGACTTGAGAATAACAATAGAAAAACTGTCCAATGACTTGATACCTGCTTCGCAAATATCGCTTCAACCTGAAGACGCAGAAACTATTGACGAAAATGTGTGGCCAGACATTAAAAGGGTGCTCTCGATCCAAATGAGAGGGAATATCTACTGTGTGAATAACGAAATTTCTGTGAATTTTTTCAACAAACCATTTAAATTCATAGTCAAAGAGCTTAAGTCCAACCCATCAAGTGATGAACTTCAAAGTTTGGTCGATCAATTCCAATCGATGCAAATAAATGCGGAAAAGTGTTTTTTGGTCACGAGTTCAACGGCTTTAGAACTACATCAATCAACACGTGTAGAAGATGAAGACAGTAAGGCCACGACGCGTCCAAAGATCGATCAAATCGGTGGAATGACCGAAGTGCTTACTCAATTAAAGGACTGTATGAATATTGCATTGGGAAATACTACGTCAGGCTCTAGTTTCTATGTACCACGTTCCGTCATATTGAGTGGTCAAAATGGAAGTGGAAAGACTCTCCTCTGTGATGCCGTCATCGAACAAAGTGACGCACAGATCATTCGAGTAACCGCCTCGGAGATATTTAGCAAATATTTCGGCGAATCAGAGTCAAAATTGGTTGGATACTTCGAAAAAGCATACAAAAACCACCCAAATCCAACGATAATAGTGATTGAAGAAGTGTCAAGCATCAGCCCGAAAGAAACGAAAGAAGAGTCATCGAAGCGTGTCCAAATGGCATTTTTAAACATTCTCGACGAGATTCACATCCGAAAAGATGCGAGCCGATTATTTCTCGTGACAACCACCAGCAATGTTGATAATGTGAATTTGGCGGTGAGACGGTACGGTCGATTGGATGTTGAAATTGAAATACCCGTGCCCGATCCCATTACAAGAGAGCAAATTCTATTGAAACAATTGAAATTTGTGAAGCACACGTTGAACGAAGAAGATGTGAAAAACATTGCGAATAATAGTCATGGTTTTATCGCTTCAGATTTATCGAATTTAGTGGCAAAATCAGCGATGCATGCAGCTAGGAAGAATACATCTGGTGAACCGTTGATTGAGTTGAATGACATTCAATTTGCCTATTGTCAGGTGGTGCCGAGCGCCATGAAGGAAGTGGTTATCAAGTGTCCGAATGTGAAATGGTCGGATATTGGTGGTCAAGATGAGTTGAAATTGCAATTGAAGCAGGCCATAGAATGGCCATTGTTGCACCCGGAAACATTTACTCGCCTGGGAATTCAACCACCGAGAGGCGTTCTTATGTTTGGCCCACCTGGTTGTTCCAAGACAATGATTGCCAAGGCACTTGCCACTGAGAGTAACGTCAACTTTATATCCATCAAAGGCCCGGAATTATTCTCAATGTGGGTGGGTGAGTCAGAACGCGCTGTGCGCGATTTGTTCCACAAGGCACGTCAAGTAGCTCCGTCGATCATATTTTTCGACGAAATCGACGCAATCGGTGGAGAGAGATCGGCCTCAGCCAGTGGATCTTCGGTGAAAGAACGTGTTCTAACGCAACTGTTGACGGAAATGGATGGTGTGAATGCATTGATAAACGTAACGATTGTTGCCGCTACAAATCGACCGGATTTGATTGACAAAGCCATCATGAGACCTGGCCGATTGGATCGTATTGTTTACGTTCGACTACCAGACGCAAAAACACGACAAGAAATCTTTCGCATTAAATTATCTAAAATGCCGTTGGGTGATGATGTTAGCATTGGTTCACTCGTTGCTCAGTCCGAAGGATATTCTGGTGCCGAAATTCAAGCAATTTGCCAAGAAGCTGCGATGTATGCACTTGAAGATAACCTGAACGTCGAAACCATTGCATGGAAGTACTTTGATAAGGCACTCACCAATGTTAAACCACGTACTAGTCCAGAGCTGCTAAAATTGTACGATGATTATTCGAATGAAAGTTTAAAGGTCTAAAAAAATACGTAAATTTTAAAAAAATATTAAAAAAAAAAGTATACATTCCAGTGTGTTTGATTTATGAAAAATTGGTCTTCGTAGGAAATTCTTTTCGCATTAAACTCCACTTTCGCAGAAATTCTCTGCTGAATCACAAGTTACTTTAGTTCAATTCTTAGAAACACAAATAAATTTTCTATTAAAAGACAAACAGCAGAAAATGTCATCGAGTAATAAAGTTCTTGTTTACAAAATTTACAGAACAAACATCGATTCAGCGCTTATCAGTCGCCCATTTCGCATTAATCATACATGGCAATGTGATGTGCGCTCTCTTTTCGACTACTTTTTTTGCTTTCGACTTCAGAAAATGTGACACATGCAATGCACCGTAGATAACGTCATATTATTTTTTACACTGGAATTCGCCACTGACAAATCCAAACGCATTAACTGGACGGCTATTTGCATGAGAAAACGTCTCACGCTTCTGCCAAATCTCTCTCTTTCACATTCTCTCAAGTCGGCTACTGAACTTGCACTTTAACCCAACAGCAATGTTGGGGGGTTAATATCACGCATTTTCATCACAGTATTTAGAAATCGAAGGAATTGTATCATCGCTGTTGTAATTGTGCAATCGATGAGTATTTTGGTGAAACACAGAAGAAAACTTCGAACAAACAACTTTCACTATCAGAAGAGCTGATAAAAATGCAATAGCAATGAAATACAAAGTAAATAAAATCTAAATATAAATGAATGCTAGTGCAAAAAAAATCGAATTAAAATATGGAATAGGTGATTTCCATTGTTTTTTTTCTTGTTGTCGTTTCAATAATCTTGGGTTAATTTTGTTTTGTTCAACACAAAATTGTGGTTCTTGTGTTATTTTTTCTTGAGTTATCAATTGAAACGTGCAAATGATAGCCTTCCATTCTCCTGCATTCCTCCTTTATTTCATAAAAGCACGGACTGTAAATCTTCTCGTCATTTCAAAATTGAGCGGCTGCCAACTGTAATTCGTTTGATTTATGCATTTTTAAGCCAAATTTTAACGGAAAGCAGTGAAATGAAGCTATCATAAAATCTTCCAGCGAAACTTAAATTACTTAATCAAAAAGACGGTGCTTATTGTTGCATCTCTTGTAGTGCATCGTTCGCCGCTTTATTTCAGTGTTATGAAAATTTCAATATTCTTTCTTGCGCGCGTTGCGCTGTGCTGTGCTTCTTAGTTTCTGCCTTGTTAATGTGTTTATTGGCATTTTTTCGGAACCGCGTCCCAGCAATCGTGCTTGGTTGCGTAAGCTACGGAAAAAAAGAGAACACAAACACTCTTGAACTTGTTATTATATGGGCATCTGAATCTGTTTTAATCTCATTAAGTGAAAAGAACCGAAATTAAGTGAAAGCAGTGAGCAGAACAACGAAAACGATTGTCTTCGTGTTCTTTTTTTCGGAGGGAGCATTAAAATAAATGGTGAAATAAATTCTCTGGAGAAGTTTCGAATTAAATACAGTTTCCTGATTTTATAAATGGTAAAGTTTAATTGTTTGGTAGTGAACTCACACCTTCTCTCTCTCTCTCTTTCTCTCTCTCTCTCTCTCTCTCTCTCTCTCTCTCTCGAAAATATTCTACATTCTTAATCGCCGTAATAAATAGCAGTTCATTTGAAATTAAAATGTTAAACGAATGAATTGTAATTGTAAGAAACAAAAATGTTGTAATCGAATTTAATCTCTCTTTCGTTTGCTTAATAAAATGTACATATTCAACACCCGCCCACTGGAAAGCATCGAAAAGATGCGCTGAAAAGAATACAGAAGAAAAAAATTCAAATGTAAAGAAAGTGCCACCAAAGTCGTGCACATTGTATGTGGTTATGGTGAACAAACTATTATTCGAAAGAATGAAAGGAAAGAAAAAAAAAACGAAAAACATCTTAAAAGTTTGCTCTTTGTTCTTAGCGCTTGTATATTCGAAGACAGTGAGCGAGCGCGCGCACTAGCGATAAAATGCAATTGTTTACATCGGATGCGTCAGACAATAAGTAAACGACAAGATGTTTTTATCTATTCTCGCTGAGCAAACGACAAGGTGTACAATGTCGTCGCGATGTGTACAAAAATATAGAGGATTCTATTCCTGTTTTAATTTTGTTGTTGTTAGTCTTTTTTCTCTTATCTCAAAATTATACACGACCACATCTAGCCTATATTGACTTGCGTTATACTTTTTATTTCAAGCCAACAACTACCGAACGTAGCACGGCGGCTACGTGCAAATGAATGAATGAATGGATGAGAGAATGAATCCGTTGCGGGCATAAAATATGGATGTGATATCGATAAGAGAACGAAAGCTGACAACCGTCTCTGTTTATTCAATGAATTTATAGAGCCTGAATAAATGATCTCTTTTATGAATAAATTAAATACTAGATTATGATTTAGAGTCAATGGCGCGCGGTGAGTTTGTGTGTGTTTGTTGGAAGAAGCAAGCGGAAATCACTGCATCACGTTCATATCTCGATAGTCTCATCAATTGTAACATTTCGACGAGGGTATTGCTCATGCCATTTGATTAGTTTTTTTTTTCGTGGTGAATCGTGTGCAATTTTCAATGCTTCTTCTTGCTAAGTGCCGCCCACGAGATGATTTCTGCCGCCGGATTTTGAGATCGATTCGCGTTGAAATATCACAACGAACTGTGTGTTCAGGTGAAGTAGGAATTGAAAGAGCGAGAGAGAGAGAGAGAGAGAGAGAGAGAGAGAGAGAGAGAAGAAAAAACAGTCGTTAACCACAAACTGAGCGACTGGTATTGTGCATTGTCAGTGTCACGCATCAGAGACCACGACGGTCAACATACATTACATGTGTTCTTTCTATTTCTACACTTACAAACGGCTAGCACTAGAGTGCCGTTTCGATTCAATTCGATTCGTTTCGTTACATTTAACACACTGCACGTACATCATGCAACATTATTGTTTGTGAGACAAGAGTAGCAAAACAATCGCAGCAGCTACTAACTCATTCATTTTAACTTCCGTTGAAAAATGCTCAAAGGAGTCGAACAAAAATTGCTGCTTGGGTTAGAAAACACACGTCACATAGCTCAGCGTCTTTGGTATCATCGAAATAAAAAAAAATATGTTACACGAAATGACGCGAAAAATGTTTTTCTACGTGCATTTTTTTCATTCAGTCGATCGTCTGCCACATTGTGAATGAGAGAGAAAGATACGAGAGAGAGAGAGCCGGATCGCACACACAACATATAACACAGGCGAATTTTTCTCCTGTTGTCTTCCAATTCTTTCGTTGATCGATAGTTCTGTGCGGAGTCACATACAACACAAAACGGTTGTGTGTAGTAAAAAAAACACAGCAACAACGACGGATTATCGGTATACACACATGCTACATCAGCACAGAGAGACAGAGCAAGAGCCGAAACAAATCACAGTGCTCGAGCCAGCGCAGACAGTCTGTAGCTTTGTGTTGACGAGAACGGAACGTATTTTTTTTCGCTCGCTCGTTCGCTCATTTGCCAGTTCAAATACGACAAACGACGACAGAAAACAAATTTAACCGATTAAATTGAGAAAAATCCTCTCCTGTGTGCGGACAGAAAACGAGCAATTTTATTCGCCTTTTATTTCATTTTTGTCACGGTGCGAATTTTTTTTTTGTTCGTGCTCAATGTGTATGGTGTAGAAAGTATAGAGAGACAGTGATAATATTCATTTTTTTATGGTTATTTTATTAAACGGGAAGAACATTACAACGATTCAAGTGGTAGATTTTCTACTTTTGTTTATGATTAATAAAAAAAGTATCGTTTCTGCGGTTTAATATAAAAAAGACAAGAGATTGTGTATACGGAAGGTGCGAAAACGTCGATTCAATTTAAAAAAAAAAGAAGAAGATAAACAGTAAAGTCGTGTTTATGTCCCTTTATGACGCAAATCAGATTTAGGAACATTGTGCTGGAGAAATTCGTTTTTCTTTTAAATTTCAATCAGTGTTGGTTTATCGCTTACGCTATAGCTCTCGCTTGATCGCGCGTCTCCGTTTAGTGTGAGAAAAATTGCTTTGATCAATTTCAACCGAACGAAAAACTCTGAATGACTGTGTGTGCTATACGCGTAGCGAATTGATCGCGCACGAGAGAGAGAAATGTAATGTTATGAGTCATTTCGACGCCGCACACACTCGCATCACCAGAACAAACAGTAAAAATGATTGTAGCGAAAAATTATTTTAAGGCAAGATTGCGACTCATCCGACAACGCGATGACTGCTGAATTGTTTCAGAAATTTTACATAAAATCAAACAAAAATACCACACACTAAATCGACAGCCAACAAATGGCAGCATAGAAAAAATAGCTAAACGGTTTGATTTGGCAATATACAAACAACGAGTGAAGAAGAAAAAAACCGAAGAACAGAAGAAAAATTTCAACTAGATTCTTTCTAATTCATCATTGGTGAAAGAAGACAAACGATTCAAGAAGAAAAAAAAGAAGACGAATATCGCAGTGACTTTAGATTGTGTGTTCAATAAATCATTTTTTGTTGTTTAAATAAATTAATGAAATATCGCATGTTCTAGATTCGTGTTCTAGTGTGTATATGTGTGAGAGAATACTTTCTTTGCTCAATTTTTCCTCCGGAATGTTGTGGTGATCGAGTGAATTGGAACAGAAAAAAGGGCAAACCAACCATAATATTAGAACAAAGTAATTCGATAGGTCTTGAATTGAAAACAATCCGTCTATGAAATTCGTGTCCACAACAGAATCGACAGAAATAAACATAGTTGTAAGAGACAAGGAACAAAAAATAGAGAAAAAAAGACAAGGACTGAAGAAAGTAAAAAAAATTGTGTTCAAACCCATCAACCAAATGAATTAGAAAAACATAATTTTTTGATGGTCAACTAAATAAATTTGAAAGAAAAAACAATCATCATTTTTGACATGGGATTAATGAATTTTGATGTTATTATAAAAAGTCTAAAAATGCCATCGAATCGCCGACACTTGTGTTTGTACATTTTATTATTTTCGGTAGTTATTTCATACGCCAATGCAATAGACGATCAAAGCGATGCGAGGAGTGATGGCAATAATGCTGCCGCCGCTGATCATTTCGGTCAACCAAATTATATACAGTTAAATACCAAAAATAACAATAGAGATTTAAGTGAGTTTAGTGTAAGAAAACCACAAACGCCACATCATCATCAACATCATTTGAGGCATCAGAATAGTCACAATAGTGAGCATCGATCGAAAGCATCGAATGGGTACCACCACCACCACCAACAACAACATAAACAACATGTTCATCAATCAAATGACAGTGCATTAAATCGAATACCTGGCTATCAACGTCAGGCTCATTCACCGAAAAAACACTCCCATTATGAGGATGATAATGCAGCTGCATCAATTGTGGGGGGCGGTTTCCATACACGAACCCATGCACAGCACCATCAACATCATAGCCAGCAACCGCAGCAGAGATTAACCACTTTGGGACCATTTAGAAGTCGATCGAACAATAGAAGTGGTGGTAGTTGGTCGTCGTCGTCGTCGTCGTCGTCGTCGGGTGAAATATCAAACAAAAGAAATTGGTCAGATAATTTGTCTCGAAACCGACAAGCGCCGGTCGAACAACTCGCTCATTCATCAAAGAACCGAAATAGAACGCCCTACCATCAATACAATCCACACATACGCACCACAAAACGAACAACAACTACCACTACGACAACAACGACCGTTGCACCTGATGATTTTGAAGAGAAAGTGTTTTTTGATGCACAAAATAGCTTTAACAACATTGAATCAGACGAAGATGATGATTTTGACTATAACATTGATGATGATGAGGACAGTGATGAGAATTATGATACAAAAAAACGATCACCGTCCATCGGCTCGTTTGATCGTCATCACACATCGAGTCAACAGAGTAATGAGAATTTTCAACGTGACGATCCCGTTCGAAGTAGCAATGGATATAATGGAATTACCACGACTAACACATTCAAGTCACAACATTCGTCAAACAACGATAATTACCACTTGAATATGCATAATGATGGGAGCATGAATGCCAATCGCGCCACAATTGAAACATCTAAATCATTTGTCGAACGAAATCCGACGACACGGAACAGAGTAAGTGCAAATTGCTCTTTTGTTTCAATTTCTTTCTGGTTTTATTTTCTCTCTCTCTCTCTCTCTCTCATACTCATTGGCTTGTTCCATTCTCAGAACATGCCGTTTAGTGGAAATTGTTGTTCAGAAACGACAAATTTGAAGTGAGAGAAAAAAAAGGCGCGATCTCTTTATGAATTATGTTATTAGTTGGTGTACGAGAGAGTGTTGTTGGCGCGCGCTCGTGAGCGTGAGCGCTCGAGACACCAAGTTTTGGGTGTACTTAAGCTGGGTTATTTGTGTGGTGCCGCGTTTTACACATTCAAATGAGTGGCATATAACGACGGGCAAACGTGTGCCGTTTATGTTTTAGTGGCCATAGTAACACATTACCGATCACGAAAATAGAAACTAAACCACGATATACATTTTGAATACATATATTATGTTCTGTCTCATTCATTCTCGTGCCCAGCCAGTTTTTCGGCGCATTTCCATCTGCACTGTGCGTGCTGCGTATACTAATCCTGCTCTTTCTCTCTCTGAGTGTGTGTGTGTGTGTGTGCGTCTATGTGACACGGCCACATCTATTCACCGCTTGATCTATTACTGTTTTTCTTTCCATCCTACTTCATTTCTGCTAAAGCAATAGGCCGTGTTAAAAAATGCTTTATTTGTTTTGGAGCGGCGCGCACATATTTATGAAGATTTGAACAGCTGGCTAAATAAGTTTTTATTTATTTTTCACTAATTTGTGCTAAACGCGCGTTTTCATTCAATTGCTCCAAATAAATTCTATCCCTGACGAGCCAATGCGCCACGGACGAGCGTGCGCGCATACAGATTGCAAACGCTCATTTCACTATTTCTCTTCTTCTTTTTCTTAATCTTAATCGTTTCGTTTATTTCAGTTTTAGTTCGTTAATTTCTTGATCAAGAGAGTCTTGTACGTACGTCGTGCACACAAGCAAAATTACAAATAATGTGGTGCCATAAATTCATCAGCATTATTGAATTTCATATTTATTCAAACCGTGGGGATTTTTTTCTCTCTCTAATATTTAATTTGAGCATGATGCCATATCAGCCGCATGAATCTATTAGGTCAATCGGTTGATGCGATTTCTATCGCATAGCATTGCCCCGAAAATTGCTTGAGTAATCGAGAATGAAGAAATAAAACAAATCATATGGGAAAACCAAATATTTATTTTAAACAACTCAAATGAGTTGATCATTTGGCACATTCTCAATTGAATTAAATGCGTTCGAAGAACTCGACTATGTGTTTAAACTCGATAAAATAAACAAGCCATAATTTTCAAGAAATGCCCACTAGACTTTATTGACCGAAAACCATAAATATTTCACTATCAAAATGTCATTTCATGTCTATTATATAAGCAGATTTATGTGCACACAACGACTCTTTTTTCCCCGCTTTCATTAAAAGGCGATTTTTTTAAAATGAAACATGCAGCCAACAATTCTGGACAACGGCTCGCATGATATCAAATCCGTCTGTTCGGTTTATTCCGTTCCAGTCAAATAATGTGCACCACATATAAAAGCCACAATGTTAACATGCAAATGAAACTAATGAAAGAATCAATTTGTCCTTTGACAATGCTGTAAATGATGTGAACAACCGAATCAGCCCCGCAACACACAGTAAAATTCTAATCGATGAAATGGCAAAACTTTGGCTCCAGACGATTTTTCATTCATTTCACACTTGCTGCACGCACACGCGTGTGTATTTGTTTATGTGACAAAGTGTTTTTTTTTTGCTGATTCATTAGACAGATAATAATTTGCATGTGAACCCATTTAAAATGGCTGACGTAAATGTTCTCGCAAAGTCAAGAAGATCAACGGACATTAAACCACCACTAAACTAAAGTGGACGAACACAGGCGAACGCAAAAAGCAAATAAAAATGCAATCACAAACAAGTAGTGAAATGCGGGATGAAGCGCTCTCAACTTTCATTAGCATTCCAAACTGAAGCGAACCAAAACCAAGAAAGAAAAAAAAAACAAAAACGCAATCTATCCGACCGACGGCATGCCAATGATTAAATACAAATTAATATTAATTCATACCAATTTCACTTGGTTGACAATTTAAATGGTGTAAAAGTGCTATTTAAATTTTTATTAACACATTCTAAATCGTTATCGCCGCCGTCGCCACCGTTGCGCTTAACGTCTTGTTGGTGTTTTTTTTAGTTGTTTTCTTTTAGTTCCTCCCTTTCGGCGATTTCGTTCATTTCACAGTTTGCCGCCGCCGCTGCTTGTCTATTGCATCGATGACTTCTCACACGCATTAAGTTGATAAATGAGCGTGGTTTTTTTTTTCTTGCTTTCATTCATTCATTTAGTTTGGAGAAATTTTAAGTAGGTCTAGCTATTCAATATAAACAGATTTTTTTTTCAGTAGACCTTTTTGTTGGACGCCTCACTTCACTGCAAGCCATCGTAAATGCTCTGCTTCTTTCTTCCGACATTTTTTCTGAGTTATTCTAAATTTCTTACTCGTATTTTCATTTTCTGTTGTTGTTGTTGTTGTTGTTGTTGTTTATTTTCCCCATTTCGGAATCCGAAGAATCGAAAAAATTTCCAACGGATCAAAGCGCATAGACCGATATACACATATTTAAGAGAATTTCGTGTGAAGAGGAAAGTGCAGTTGGTGACGCGATGAAAATGAAATAACCCAACATGCACGGCAAACATTTATAACATTTTTTAAGCTACTGTTGCTACTACATACGTTTTGAGCACATTATTTATGTAAACAATAAATTTATAGTTCTTTATTATTCATGTGCATAATGTGCATTTCGTTGTTGTTCATGTTGTTGTTATTGTTGTTGTTTTTTTTGGGAAGCAAGTTTTAGTGGCATTTTCGACATTGTTATGTTCTGTGCTGCTGCTGTGTATATTTCATAATTTGTGTTTTTCTGTGTGTTTACACATCGGTCATCTGCTTGCTTCTACGGAACCAACCATTTGTAATCAATTTCGAAGTATAATCATGTGAAATTTCCCACTGAAGAAGGAAGCGAACACAAAACAAACACACACACACACACACACACACACATACACAAAACACCCGAGTAAAACATTTCAATTTGTTCAAATTGAAGCGAGAAGCAACAAAAAGAACAACAGCAACAACAAAACACAGAATTAAAGGCTTAGACCTCATAAACGTTTAATTCATTTTGCGTTTTTTTTTTTGTAAACCAAACAGAACATTTATCATGTATTTTGGGATAATATGTTCATTTTGTGCCCCCGTCGACGATCCCATTTAAATATTGACTATGCCATTCAACTGTATGCCGCTAATAAATAATACTACGAAGCGATAAAAGGTCAAAAATAAATGTTGTCCGAGTAATTCGTTTTAATTTCGTTGGTGTGTGTGTGTGTGTGCGTTTCGCCACCATGTCAAACAGGACTGTAAAATATATCGGGCTATTTGCTTTTATCTGAGCTCGGTTCGGTTCAATTTTCGATTTCCCGTTTCCAAGATTTTTCGAATATTTCACTAAATGCACACACAATGAACTCGCACATTCATTTCACTGACCGTTCGCAGATTGCCCAACCACTTGAAGCCAAATTCATAATAGCACAATGCAATCGAACGAACGAGAGCGGGAAAGATGGCCAGATTACGAATGCGAGACAGAGAAAGCGATTTAAGTACTTGGCACATTGTTCCATGAGTAGAATTTCATTCAATTACGAATTGAATTTACTGTTTTGTTCGTGTTGCTCTTTGTTTGAATGCCACCGCTTTCGCTTTATCGCTCGATTCAATTTGAAATTGAAGATTTGCGCGCAAATACTTTGCCCAATCGATTATAATTCGTATTAAGAGCAAGAGCAGCAGGCGAGAGAGGAAAAAGAACGAAAAAAAACACACACACACAGAGGATCAACGGCATCTTTGGCGAAAAAAAACGAAGCCATGCGCACAAACCTTCGTTAGAAATTGAATTGGCCAGAACCAGATGCTAGCTCTCACCCATTTCAGAATAAAAAAAGCCAGATAAAATAAATGAGGAAGCGTGAACATTGACGATCGCCTTTCGTCTAATTTATTGTTTTTTACCATTTTTATACGCATTTGATGCACAGACACTCACTCACGCGGCCACAGAATTTAGTGGCATGCTCGCACGAGATATACGATGTGCATGGCTAATGGAGATGCGCCAAACCCATGCGCTCGTATCCATAGCAAATTCTGTAGAATCGTCGTTCGCTGTTTTTTTCTCTCTCTGCTGTGTTGTGTTGTGTTGTGGCTCTTGGTTGGGCGAAAAGCGTGTGCAAACAAAACTCCGGCCAATAAGTGATTTCTTTTTATGATTATGTTCCTTTTCCTTTGCGGTTATTGTTATGAATGCCGTGTGTGTGTGTTTACGTTGGGCGCGAGAGCACGAGTGTGATTGCTCACTGCGGTTGCCGTCTTCGAATATATTTTTCTTTCATTTTTTTTCTATTATTTTCTCGTCACACTCGCTAATATTATTCAATATCCCGAAGGTCATTATGACTAGTAAATGAAACACCGGCCGTGTTGTGATGGGCGCTCGCGCGCGTCATTCCATTGAATCGTTCAGTTACACCAGCAAATAAAATGAAATGAGATGTGGAAAAGGACAGAAAAATGGCATAATACGTAAACTATATTGCCCAAGACATGTAAGAATGGATTGACGGAATCACTTTTCACGGCGTCAAAGCGCAATTAGAACACAGTTGCTATAGCAAGCACACCAACCGAACCGACTGAGAGAGAGAGAGAGAATGTTTATTTTAGAATGATCACGACATCAAACACCGCAAATAACAATAGCAATTCATGAGATAACACACCACATCAAGCAAGCAAGCGAGAGCAAAAAAAAATACTTTACACCGCGCATACCAAATGGACAATGGTATGGTTTTGTCGATAATCAAACATTGATCCGGTCAAAAATGGCAATTGTACAATTT